TTTTTTTTTCTTTTCTTTTCTTTTCTTTTCTTTTCTTTTCTTTTCTTTTCTTTTCTTTTCTTTTCTTTTCTTTTCTTTTCTTTTCTTTTCTTTTCTTTTCTTTTCTTTTCTTTTCTTTTCTTTTCTTTTCTTTTTGCATGTTTTCAGTATCCTTAGTAAACATAGAGAATTCCTAAAGAGTCATGAAAATCATTTACCATCGAGATGAATGCCAAGATGATGGCTAAGCTTTGAAAATGAGCAAGAGGAGAGGCCTGCAAGAGGCATACCACAGTGCTTCAGGAACTCCCTGTCTATGCATATGCAAGTCATAGTTCACAGAGCCATTTGCCTTTTTCCAGCCTTGTACCTTCAAGGTACATGCAACCATTCAAGCTAAGCAAAACCTCCTTCTTAAGCATAAAAGTTTCAAATATCATTTAGAAGTCAAGATGTGGGTGATATATATTGGCAACATGATTGTTGTGTAACAGAAAGCAGAATCAAGGGAGTTCATTACATGTAGGTTTAATAGCTGAAACTGAAGGATTAAAGGATTTGCTTAGGAATCTAAGATATTCTGTTAACGAGAAAATTTGGAACTTAACAAAGAGGTTCAGACACTAATAGGGTCCATGGGATCATTTAACAGAAATGAGGAAAGATCCTGGCTGTTCTGTCTTTTGTATCTTACCAAGTTCTGTGAATTGCAGACTTTGTTAAGGAACACTGACTAGCCAACAGTTCCTCCTGACTTCCAGATTTATATAAATGACTGATGGTCATTTATATAAATGATCTTTCAGTGACTCTCCCCAAGGGGGGAGAATCAAATGCAACCTTAAAAAGCTATATAGAGACTTTTATTTTAATTTTTTAAAGAAAGAATGCTTTTTATTTGCATGGTTCATGTTTCTAACTGCTTAATGGCATTTCATTATGACAATTAATTGTATTAAAGACAGTAACAATCTACACACATAAAGAAACTAACACATGACAATTACAATCTTTATAGGAACGATCAGTTTAAATCAATTAGAATGTAACCCACACACTAACACAGAAGTATGCAGGAACTATTATGTACTACTTCATTTAGTCCTACCAAATAAGTTTTAGCCTTCCATAGGCTATAAAGAAGAAATCACCCTAAGAACATTAAGAAATGCTAAATTAACACTAAATTCATACTTAGTCTGTAACTTTTAAAGGACACCTGTAATATCACATACTCTTAAAGCTGTCATTAACTGATGCTGTCAATGTAAAACTTATGCCTGAGGTCCTAGATTCCTTCAAGTGTAGCTCTGTTGGTCACTGGTATGACTTCTACACACATACATTCCTATTGCTGGGCAAAACAGTTTTGTTCACAAAAGTTCTGGTGTACATGCAGCAAGTCTAGTAAAAAATAATATTTGGCCGACAGGGCTTATGTTTTTCAATGAAATGGAGTCAGCTATACTATCAAAATAAATCTTTGGCAAGTAGAAGTAGCAGCTCTACAGGAGACGTTTACTAATACTCTTCCATACTAGCAAACACGTCTAACCATAGGCGTGACCTTAGTTTAAGCAGCTTGTTAAAGATTTACTGGGATGGAGAGCATCTCTAGGCTCTAACGTGTACTTGACCTCCTGGTAATTCAGGGTCATTCAGGTGACTTTCTCATTAATGCATGAAACTGTTTCTATTCACATTATGCTGGAACAGGTCTATAAAAATACTGGCTTGAAAGCAGCTGCACTGTTTATTCCTGACAGTGTAACAGGCACACCATGATCAAATTTAACACACGGAGAAATTGCATAATTTCTCCCAAATTACTTAATCTGGAAGATGGTATGAAGTACCTAATGAACACTGAGCACATCGCATAGTTTAACAGGGTAGCAATAATAGCTCTGTTGGTAGCTATTCAAACTAATCAACAAAAAAAATATGCATACAATGACTTATGAAAATTCCATAGAAGAAACACATACTAAATATGCTAAAGCATGATATAGCATAACATAGGCCCAAGCAGCTCAGAACTGCTACAAATGCTCAGCTTTTTGGGAGCATTCTCACAAAAGGAGAGAGAGAGAGAGTGTGTGTTGCAAAAAGAGGCCAGGAAAGTGCAGCTGTTTGCTTATAAAGATTATTTGGTGAATTTTACAGGAGACTTGCTCAGTTTTGCCTTAAAATAAAGATAAGGAACTGATGAAGTGAGATAAGGGACTTTATAGTTGAAGTCTGAGCTTGAAATGTGATGTTTGTGTAGCGTTCTGAAAACCCTGAACAGTAGGGAAAAATCAAACTGTCAGAGCTACAGAGGTTGAGAAGTCTTAGCTTTCATAGGTTAACCTTTTAATGGGAGGAGAGGACAGAAAAAACATTACACCAAAACATCATGCCAGAATGTCTCAGCAGGGAGAGATAAATTAGAAATTGGAATTTGGTCCAAATGTTAAGATATCAGACAGAGGCATTATGGAGAGAAAAGAGTCAAAGGCAAAGACTAGGCCACATTTGTGAGTGACAGAAGCCAGTACTGTTCATAGTCATTGTAAGAAGTTAGACATTCATACATATCATCGCATATGGATGCTGCCTTCTTTCTTGGGTTGTCATTGTAGATCAGTTTCACTTAAAACACTGCTAGAAAATGTTAATCTGACAATTGTAGTACGTACATAAAAAGTAGTTTTCAAGAAAAAATAACTAAAACACTGCTACATTCATGGCACAACTGTCCTCCAAAATATACTTTTCCCACACTTTTGCTCTGAGATATTGAAATTTAAGAAGTATTTTTTTATATAATCAAGCCACTAAAATTCTTGTAAGTCTTTGATTTTTACTAAAACTAAAATGATGATAAACACAAATCACTCAATCTAATTTGTGCACAATGTGTTAAATCCAATGAAAAGCATTTTTTTTTGTAGAAAGAAACCAAGTTTTTAATTTCCTCTCTGATTAGAAGAAAAATATAAGCAAATAAAACAATCTAAGCAAACGTGGCAGTTAGTGTAGCCATTCTTGAACTTTTTAGATGAGTAATATTCTGGAGAGAGTACCGAAACAACCCAAATACAAGTTTCACATCTATTTTGTCTCTTTGGCTCTTGGAGCCACAGTAATAATCGTAAGAAGTAAACAAAAGCTCTGAACATTGCTTTACTTTCCTCAGCGATTACTTTTGCAATATGCGTGCCCAAATTCCTACCGCTGTGCTCACTAGCTCTTTGACCAGTAACATGCCCTTTAACAAATATTCCTGTGTCACAGATATTGGCAATACACTTGCTGAAGATTATTTCTGTTATTCTAAACTGAAAATGGCATAACAAGATTAAAAAAAAAAAACTTTTGGAGCCCTTGTGTTTTTACTGAAAGTAGCTACTGAGAATTTCAAGCAAACAAGTGACTGTTTTATCAAGTAGCTTAGATGTAGCAATTTTGTTCAGGACCCTAGCCCTTTACAGTTCCAAAGCAAAGCCCATATCTCTTGTTTCTTATCTGCTATCAGTTGCTTTGAGCATGAAGTAGGATTGTTGATACATATAATAAGAGGTCTGAATACATACCAATATTATTTTTTCTGATTAACTTCATACGTAATTCCTCACAGTTCTGTAATCGTGCTTCTAAAATTACCATATTATGAACATTCATAGTAACCAATACTACTGTATTTTAGCAGTAAAAAGAAAACAGCGATGCCTATTGAATCTTACATGCTTAGAGAATCTGAGCACTTTTATTGGCATGTATAAATCAGAATTAATATTAATTCTTCTAGATGGTAGCCTAGTTCTCCAATTTCTCTGTTTCCGGTTGCCATTACTGAGACACATAAACATTATTTCTGGATATAGCTATCACTTTTTATTTAAATCTAGCCGTAATTTACGTTTTAGAGAATCTATTGCTAAAGAATGCTTGGGCATATGGGGAAAATGTGTTTAGTAAAGGAGAAAAAAAAGAATATTTGCATTAATTTATGGCAAACTTTTGACAAAATTTTTCAAATTCACACAGCACCATATTTTAGAAAGATTTTTTTGCCCTGCAGTGAAAATGCTTCTTATTTTGCATTTCCATCATCTGTGACAAGGACACTTGTCTAATCAGTTTTGGTTTCAATTTTCTTATGCTGCAGCAATACAGCAATATTTGGGTTGTAGGCTTCTATGAGGATTGTAGCTGTCTACTTTGAGTTTCTATTAAGTATTAATTAATATATAATTATATGCTATAATTATACTGATATTAATTAATATTTATAGTTATATTAAATATTTGCACTAGTTTTGCAAATACTGGATCTAATTGCTGAAACTTCTATTTTTTTCCTCCTTACAAGTAAAAATAACATAAATAACTTTCTTTGAATTTTATACCCATGAATATTGCCTCTTTAAAAAAAAAATCTATGTCTCTCTGGGATTGATCAATGTTTGTTTATGAAGACCTTGCTGGATTATACTGCATTATCGCATCCCATCACACATTCCAGTCTTCTTGAATGGAAGAACTAGTTAATGATAAAAATGTCCTGTTGGGAGAATTATTTCTGTAGTAAGAATTCCATGAATTAGTTTAAGAAAAATCTATTGCACCCTGTAAAAATTATTTTCTGGGTCTTTCTAGGTAAATTTTAACATATTAATTCGTTAAAGAGTGTTCTTCCTTTCTTGTCTATGCTTGGAGCCTCAGATCCATTGACTCTTAATGAAGGATAGAGAATTCCTCTTAATGAGGATTTGACTCTAGAAAGGATAGGTAACAACCTGGCAGTTGAGTTTTCTATAGGTGCTCTATTGAATCTTCACAGCTGAAGGTAGAAATTGATCTGCTGTCTTCCATAGTTGAAGCTTGTGCCAGACAATTTCCTGCAGCTTCTTTTGTATTGATTACCATTTGTATTGATTACCAGATAAAGCATAGCTGACAACAGATCCTGTAGGCTTTCATAGCAGAAGTATAGGGAGGTTCATGAGGTTTTTGGCTTGTGCTTCTGTAGAATTATACCTTTTTAATTATTTTTAAGAAATTATATTGAAATTTACCAGCTGCCGAGATTAAAATAGCAGACAAAGTAGTCATTTGTCGACTGAAAATATCACATGATTATATTAAAGCGAGCAGCAGGCACACTCTTTTAAGCTACCATTAATCATCTTTTGCCCAGATAAACTGGTCTGCTGTAATTGCACCGTAAACAACAGAAATCATAAAATCGAAGTTTTAATACACATCAAGTTGAATTAAAATATTAGAAGAAAAGAAAGAACCTAATGTTTATAATGATCTGTCTGTTTTAAGAGTTATAAAGCAACCTTGCAAAATGTTAAGAACATAAGGAACACATTAAAAAAAATTCAAAAAGAAAAAAAGTCTGAAAATGTTTGATAGATTCAGGGAAATTCTGGTGAAATGAGTACTAATATCATTTTAAAATGTCCTACTTAATTGTGTCTAGTAAGGAATAGAACTCGATTATCGTCTTTTAAAGATCTTCATAGTGAATTATTCACATTGATCTTTCATTATCAAAATTCTCTGATACTATTGATTGGAATGCTAGGTTCAAAAATCTCACTGGTTCTCTCTGTCTTCAATCCTCTCCCACAAAGTCCATTCTACACCACTTTCACTGTTCTTGAGACATCGCCTCTTTTTTTGCAGCATCATTTAGATTACTGAAACAAGTGGAAATGTGAAAAAAAAAAAGAGTAGAGACACTCGGACTGAAAGAAGAGGTATGGAAGTAAATATATGCAAGGACAGCTGCACTTGCAGCACGTCCTAGAGAGATCCTAGGCTAGGAGACGCTGCCAAATGCAGTCTATACAGCCTCTGCAAGGAAATGTCTAAAGTAATTAATAATAAAGAACAGAAAATGATTATTACAGTATCTTGAAATTTCAAGTCTTTTCTTCACTGATATGTACGGGAAAAATTAAATACCAAAGCCAATACAACTATACTTTTTAGCACATATAGAAAAAGCAGCCACAAGTAGATTTTACCTTCAGGAGAAATTTCCTTCCATGGATTAGGTGGATACATGAAGGCAGCATTCTGAATTTGGTCATGAATATCTTCATCTTCATTGAATGGAAAGGTACCACTGAGGCTTACATAAATGATGACACCCACAGACCACATATCCAGAGATCTGTTATAGCCTTTGTTTCTCAGTACTTCTGGAGCAAGGTAAGCTGGTGTTCCTACAACTGAACGCCTAAAGGATTTCTCTCCGATGATTCGAGCAAAGCCAAAATCACAGAGTTTTACCTGTTTGAAGCAAAGTGCTATGGTAATTCAGATATTTTTATTATCAGGTACATGGTTACATAGATAAATTACATAGGTAATTTAGTCATGATTTAGTTGAGAGATCCATCTCTACTGTTTATTCATGGGCATTTCTCTTTTATTTTATTATTTTTTTTAACTCTTCCTGCGTAGAGCCTCATGATTCCAATGAATTTTTACACAAGATTACACAAGTCTATTCCATTTTCTGTATTTCTTCATTCCATAAATAAGCTATCCAGGACATCTTAGGTCCCTTCCAAAACTGCATTTCTTTTGATTCTAACAGCTTAACCTGCCGCTGCAAGTAACAATACAAAGTAATAACACTTACTCATAGCATAAAAACATGGCAAATCAAAACTTCAACCTACGCCTATTTTTTTCTTATATTAAGCAAAATGATAAAACTTATTCTTGAACTGCCACTTTGAGATACATTTAGACCCTCACTTTTTACAAAATTCTTTGCTTTTTCCAGAGTGTCAGATTTAGCTGTTGAAAAATTCTCACTTCAGATTTCACTGCAGCTTCTTCCTTTTTAGTTATTGATACTATTTACAAAATTTTAAGTGTCAACAGTATCACCAGTACTTCTTTGAATATAGGCAATTGGAGGAAACCTTAACAACAGATAAGTAAATGTAGCAGAAATTGATTTAGAACACAAGCAGTACAACAACAATCTAGAAAGTATATTTATAGATTCTATAATTTGCCTGGTATTTAAATTCACAAGATTAAAGAAGCATCTCTTTTCAGTAAGCTGTAACCTCACTTTTTATAAAACACTGCTTCTTTTCTGAGCCTGCATGCAAATTGTCAGTTATCTGGACCAAATAAACTAGAAAAATAAGTTGTGCTGCAATAGTGATCAAATTACAAACATCTTGGGCCAATACACTAGTGGTTATATCACACTTGAAAATCTAGCTGATTTTAGAATAAAGACAAAAGAATAACTTTTAAAAATGTCATCTTTGGAACTCTTTTTGAATATAGAATCAGATTTGTCCTAAATAGCTAATAATTCTCTGTAGTTTTGGTGGCAGATGAAAACAGATCACTAATAACTTTTAATTGTGTTCACAAAATAACCACTAGTGGTAACACATTAAGTTGAAAAACTTATCTTAGCAGAGGACATTTTCTACTTGCCTGTGGGAAAGGGTCAGCTGATGCCAACAATACATTCTCTGGTTTCAGGTCACAATGAACAATATTTTTGAAATGAAGATGCCTTAAAGCAACAAGGATCTGTGAAGAAACAAATCAGGAGGATATTCAGTTTTAAATGATAAATGTTCTCTGTATATATATTATTCAGTGATCCGAGGATCAAGCACGGTTGTAGAAAAACAACAGGACTGTATCTTTTAAAACAATGTCTTCAATGCAATAAAAAACATAGACGATGCTTGCAGTTATATGCTGTGCTTCAGATTTTCTGGTTTCACAGTACAAAACAAGACTGCTCTCTCTCCATAGAATCTACATTCTAAACAGATTTTTTTAAAAAAAAAAACTTAATTCTACATACCTGTTCCCTCTTTTAGTGTGAAATGTTGGGTTTTATAAATATTTCATTTGCAAAATGCCCGTCCAGATCTAAATTATGAACTCAAAAATTTCCACTGAAATAGTATACAAGCAAATTTAAACAATTTCTTGAAAAGGGAAAGCATGTATATTTTTACTCCATTTTGTCTAAAATGCATTCATCCTATTCCTGTGGTTTTAATTCTGCTATTTCTCGTGTCTGGTCTGGGGCTGACAGAATTTTCCACTCTATCAAAAGAGGCAATGGTCAGAAGGCTGAATGAAGCTGGGAAAGCAAGAAAACAGATTCCAAAGCTGATGGCAGTTTAGCACTTGAAAGCTGGGGAAGCGTCTCATTCCATCTCCTTAATAAACGTCCCCTGTAGCACTATTGTTCCTCCTCCTTTTTCTTGCCTTAACACACAATAGAGGCTGCTGTAATGCTCAGGAGCCCATCTAGTCACCTGCATGTCTAATTTTATACCTCTATTATAGGCAGACAAAGAACATGGCAACAGGAAGGACAAAAAGAACCACCCTCCCAGAAAACATACCACGTTGTTAACTGAAGCCATGCAGGAAAACAGACTCATTTCAATCAGATACAGTGCTGAGATCCAATCTCAGCACAGAAAAGCTACACCGAGTAAGTGTATGGTATGAACTACAATAGTGAGGTACAGGGTTCAAATTTTTTATCATCTTATATAAGGCTTCAACAGGGGTGCTATTTGTGAGATGCATCCGTTTCTTGTGCTTACTTCTTCATGCATAATGGGAAATGTGTCTTGATGGCCCTTACACTCAGCAATCAGACAATTCCTCATTTATTCTGTTCTAGTTCCTCCTAATCTACCCATCAGATAATGCACATGAAGATGTCTGTATAATCGCTAGTATTGTAACTCAAGCTTTCACAAATCAGATGGGTAAATTATGGCAAAACATAAGCAACAGTGATAATACCTTAAACTTCTATCTCAGTCTATAATTGTTTTCTTACCTGAGTAATTAGGAACTTCGTTATTCTCTCTGGCAATCTGCCTTTTTCACTTGATAAGATCATCTCCAACATGTCTCCATGGAGTTTTTCCAAACATGCACTCCAGATTTACAACCCCAAGGTGATGAAGATTCTATTAAAGATATATGTTAAAGACATAAAACAGATTTCCAAACATGATTAATAAGTTTTATCATTAACCAGCCAATCTTCAGATCCTTCCCCCAACAAAGGACAACAGTCCAGTCCTTCAGCATTTAAAGCGTGCCTTGTCCGTAGGTACCATGCATGAAATTTCTAGAGATAGTAGCCTTATAAGAGTGTGGCTGAACTCCAAATGAGTTTAATAAAAATACACTTTCATTATTATGCCCAGTGCCTAAAATTACAAAGATTGTAATTCCTAACATGACATCAGAATGGTTAAAAGTAAAATACCTACAACTCTTAACATATTGCATCATAGGTATGGTTTTAATTTAAAAAAAGATATATATAACACATATAAATAATATATTTAGTTATTATGCAAATTCTCAAGGTGCTACCTTCAAGTAGGTACTGTGTTATCTGGATTTTATAACACGTTGATTCAAATGTTGGTGAATAGTACAGAAATTAAGAAATCATGTTAGTCTGAAGACATATTGCCAAGGATTCTTTCTATTTTAAAGCCTGTTATTGTTGTGATCTGATTGCTTTAAATGAAGGTCATATGGAACTCTATACTCCTGCAAAATGCTTTGTACCTATTTTTAAGGTTTTTTTGATACATTAGGAACCAAGTCAGGAAAAACACCATCACACCAAGTGTCCTGGAGAATGTAACACCAATAGCTTAACCTCTTTTAAAATAAGGAAACCTCAGTATGGAAGAGAGAAAGTAAAATTAAGAAATAAGTTTAAGGACGACCAACATTGTGCTTGGCATTTCTGACATACATAGTGGTGTGTGCCAGAATGTGTGCCAGAAAGAAGACAATGTGAGTTCAAGATCTCATGTCAGACCTTCTATCTAGCAGTACTGGAGAATGGGCACAGAAGTACTACATACCTATAAAGAGGCTATTGACTAAAAAGGATATTGGCTCACAGTAATAAACAACTGTGATATTTAATACATTTCTAGTAAATTTGCCCTTGACTATTTTTGCAAAATTTCCTGTCTCTTTAAACAATTGCATTTCACACAAACATCTAGAGAATTTTTAGAGAATTTAACAAATAGATTGAGAGCAAACATCATATCATTTGAGTTTACAGTACTGTACAAATTGAGTTAATATAGTAAAAAGGCAAAAGAAAATACCTGTAGAATTGCAACCTCATTACGAAGTTGGCTTTCCTGTTTGGTTGGAAACCTTAGTTTGTCAATTATTTTAATGGCAACATCTCTTCCTGTTTTGCGATGCTTTCCTACATTAATAAATAATAAAAAGAGAGCTTCTATCAACTAGCACGAATAATTCTGAAAAGCTTTCCACTCTGGCTGCGTTGTACAAATGACCGCAGTCAAGTAATTCCCCGAGCAGGTTTGTAACCAGTTAAACCAACATTAAAAGTTTTCTGTCATTTCTGTACTTTCTTCCCTTTGACAAGTTAACTTTTCTTATGTTCTATAACCACTTAAAAAATCTGTTCAAGCACATAAACCAGCCTATGCACTAGCAAGTCAGCTTTGCAGTTAAGCTATATACATTAAAGTGAATGTATGACGTGCAAAACTGACTTTCTCATAGTCAGTTCTTAAACCCTGTTCTTAAACCATACTCTTTGCAGCTGGTTGGTCAGAGGCCTATTTGGTTAAAGAATGCTGTATATACGAAACAATTGGCAACTAATTTCTGTAACAAATCAATTCAGAGTCCAAATATTTTCATAATTCAAAGGTTTTCTGTCTCAAGCATAGCTGTACAATGAAACAAAGTCTTACCTCCGTAAACAATTCCAAACTGTCCTGATCCCAACACCTCATCTGGGAAGATTTGGTACACACTGCTAATGTCCTGTTTATGTAAACATAATGATTATTAAGCTCTGAAATAGGGTAGCAAGATTTTTATTTCATTTGATTTTTCTAATGGGAACTAGCATACGTTTACTTCTGGACATTTCAAAATACCAAAAGCATTCATGTGAGTTTTCTTATAAGGCAGGGAAGAAAAATGCAGAAAGGAGAATCTTCAGCTAAGTTTCAGCCATTGCCATCTTACAGGCAAGTAGTCTGCCATGGGCTACATTATACTTAATCTTCATCAAATCTTAAAACCAATGTACATATGGAAACAGAAGGGATACTGTTAGCAACACTCTACCCAGAGGACCCAGCTGAGGATCCTTGATCTAGCAGGATTTTCATAAAAATCCTTGGTTTTATGGAAAGAGAAAAACCAAGAGTTAAAACTGTCTTTATAAAAATCCTAGATAACCTCCAGGTTTTGAATTCAGTTCCATTTTCCTGATATTTAAAGAGCAGCATATAAAAAGAAGAGCAAAAGAATGAAAGAGTTGATGATAAAGATTGTTCTTGCTTTTCCTTAGAATATAAAAGGACACTCCCAGGTAATTCTTTCCTTTCTTTTCTGGCAAATACCAGAACTTTACTTTGCTGCAAACAGTCCTGATTTCTTCTGCCTATGAGTAAGGAAAACATAATTCTCCTTGACCAGATGCCCCATAACCAAAATTCCTAGTGAAAGAGAGTCCGAAAACCTATTTCTATATGTGTAGCAACTTATACATATCCTTCTTCAGATGAAGTTTCATCTTTTGGGAAGGATGTACAATGAAGAATGTCTAATCTCTCAGCTACGAAAGGAAAAGCTATATTTACCAAGGCTTGTTATTTGTCTTACTATATTCATCTGACTGAAATTCCATGAACTAATAAGCTATACAGCCCATTCTTCTTTCTGATAGTCAGTAAGCGACAGGATAGGTAGTTAAATTCTCAGTTAAGCTGAGTTACCTAAATTGCACCTTTTCCTTGAAGCACAAGAATTACAGGAAGATGACTTTTCTCAAAAGTTAATTGATTCTATTTCTACAGTGTAAGTGAAAAATGGCTGATAGGAACTTCTCTCTAACATTTCATTTTCCAAAACAGATCAATGACTTTGCAAGCTTAATCATATCATGTCTAGCATTCACAGAACACTCACCACATTTTCTTGAACTTGGCAGTTTGACACTGAAATACTGATGGATATATCCCCTGGGGAAGAAAGTAAAATATACTTCAAACAGCTGTGCTTTTAGTTCAAACATGTAGTAATAGGAAATGACATTTACATCACATCAATATCTACTGACAACCCTAGAAACTGAACCAATTAGGTCATCTTGTTCATCTCCCAGCCAATACAAAATTGCACCAGTCCCAAAATAGGTGACTTGAACAATAGACTTTTCCAAGCTACAGGAAAGAAGCTTATACATTTCAGTACTTATTTTTTAAATAGAGTAATCTCATAATTCCCATTTAGAAGCTTATTATTACTTTTTTGTTGTTCTATTTTTGAGCTTTAAACCCCTTACACAAGTAGTATGAGTGCAACTAGGGTGAATTGTACTTATTTAGTATTGATTTGCAATGTCACATACAATGTATTTAATGCTAGTTAGCTTTCAGAAAAAGGCCAGTGGTTATTCATATTGATGCGTTTATTGTTAAAAAGGCACATTTCAACTGGGTTAAGGATCATTATTAAGACACCCAATGGATAGAAAAATCTTGCACTTTAATACAACAGAAAGCAGAACAAACTTCTATGAATTCAGAGCCCAGGATTTTTCCGTAATCTTTTCAAACTGGAAACCTGTTGAGGTTAACAAATAATAGCCTCAGTAAAATTGGAGATTATATTTATTGCTAACTGCATTTACACAAATATGTCATTTTAGGGAAGAAAGGATGGTTGTTCAGAGCATTTCTGTCTACATCTCCTACCACTGACTGAAACTTACTTTAGTGCTGAATTTTCATTTGCTCAATATGGATTTCAGCCCCATCAGCCCTCTACTGTAGAAACTGTTATGCACTGAAAACTGTCCACCAGTGCACCAAGTACCACGAGTAACTTTGACCCTGTATACGGCTTATTTCCTCCGTTTTTCTTCCTAGGAACAAGCTCTTTTGGGAAGGTAGTGTTCCAGTTTGGCAGAGGCTTTTCATCATTGCTGATTCATATGTGTATGATACTTTGTGTGTAAATGAGAGAAAGCAAGGACAAAAAATGTATCTTATGTTTTGAGTGGAAGACAGTAAGTTGCCATACTTAGCTTCACTCAAAAAAAAAATAAAAACACCCGAAGATGACTACTAACTTACAGAGAAAATTTTCAAACTTCCCAAGAGGCAGAGAAGACAGTGAAGACAGCTGTCATCTGTCATTGCCAGTCAAGCCTTCTCGGCCAGCTATGCTGAGCTCAGACTAGAAGCAGTAGAAAACTAATTTGATTGAAATGACGGCCAGAATGTGACCTTTTTTTATGTAGGAACTCAGTCTAGCAAAAGCAAAGGACCGCATTGATATATTCTGAGCTGTTTTGCCCACAGAAACATGCTGTCTGTTTTATTGCTTGGTTTCCAAAGTTCTTGCTGTTTCACTAGCATTTCACACTGCATTAGTATCATCCACTTGTCAAGTGGTACCTCGGGTACACATTGGAACAGAAGGTCTAATCCAGCCTGTGTAGACATGTCCAGATTTGCCTTACACTGCCTCAACTGGATGTAAGTTGCAGAGCAGCAACAGAGGCCCATGTCTGGTGCTGGTGAGCTACACAAAGTGTACCTGTTTTATTATGTGGGTTTTTTGCTCTCTGCTGCTGCAGCTACTTTGTTATCAGTACCAGAGCTAGATTTAAATGGGATTTGTATTTGTTTTACATAACCTGTCAGCTTTGGTGGAGAATTACCCAAATGTATGTAAATGTGAGGCTAAGATACATTCTACCGTTATCACTGGGTGATAACTGCCTCTTCTGCTGTCCTTCACACTTGAACTCATTGCATCTCAGTATAGGACAATGTTTATGTCAAACAGCCAAATGTGATGAAAGGGGGCATTTCACCTATGCTGTGGTCACCAAAAAGAGTGAACAGCTGCTTCTGTAGACAGAAAGAAACATAAATTGTAGGCATGAGGGGGAAAAAAAATCTATCAATTCCTAACCAGAGCTCAGAAAACTTCATGCCTACACATAAGAAGGCCGTTCATGTCAACAACACAAAGAGGATGCAGATGTCTTACATACAGAACAACTACATGCTTGCTAAAAAACCCTGCATGTTGTGTATTTATCCAGATTCCTTAGCATCAACTGGAAATAAACTGCAACTTCTAAAACAATACATGGATAGGTCATAGGCCATGATGGAATAGCCTTTATTAGCTATGCAGTACTTCCTTTCCAAACACAGAGAACCTTCAGCAATATAGTCATTTGTTCTATAACTATATTTATTGGAAATAAAAGAAATGAATAAACTTACTGTGTACATTTGGTCCTGATCCAGTTGATGCCCCTTTAGGGATGACAGGCATCAAAGCATGCTGTATTGCCATCTCCCACATTCTTGCCACATCTGTGCCAATACCACTAGTGAGAACACTGTTATTTAGTGGAACACTTGCAAGGTTTTCTATGTTTTCTCCAACATAATAGATTATATTTGCTGTGCTTATTTCAAAACAGTGAGGACTGGCTCCCTGAGGCAGTAAAGTGAAAGTTTTTGCAGGGTCCAGAGACAAAATTTCAGACAATGGAATTTCCTGAAATGAAAAGATGATTTATATTCTGTGTAGATTATCAACTTATGTATGTATACACACACACACATATATATATACACACATATAAAATACATATATGAGTTTTAACTAAGTTATAATTTAGCTGTTACTTTTAACCACATGCATCTTGTATGATCAAAAGGCTCCTGTAACATGAAAGTTCATAGCAGAAGTCTATTGATGGTAAAATACCAAAAGTTTCAGAACTTTAATTATTAAACTTATCGAAGATTGAGGTGTCATGAGAAACACTCCATTTCCACACCATCTCACTGTTTGCTGACACATTAACTTCTGATCTGAGGTTTTGTTGCGAAGACAAAGCATATGTAGGTTAAATAATGAAAACAAACATAGATCAAAGTTACGCTGCTTGCATGCTTCTTTTATTAACATAGCAATTCACTCCAGTTGTTATATGCTACTTGTAGAAGAAGAGATGGAAAAAATATTCCTTACCTTATAATATTTGCTTCCAGTATCATTTTGAAAAAGTGTAATGCATTTGCTGTCTAGTCTCCAGTAATGTCTCTTCCTCTGCAATAAACAATAATAAATAAACTTTCTAACAGTTTTGAAGTAAATTGATGAAATGCTCATTCCAAAAACCTTCATTTAAATTTAAAAGGTTGAATTGTGGAGGATAAAGTTTCCCCTTTTATTGCAAAATTTTTAGGAGTGATCTATATTTGTGTTTAAAATTTATAGGGGCTTATAGAACCTAGATGTGTTCAAATTATTCAAGTTTGAAAGGAGGAGGATGGTGCTGGCCTCTTTTCATTGGTGGCCACTGATAGAACTAGAGATAATGGCCACAAACTGAAACACCAAAAGTTCCCCAGGAACTTAAGGAAAAAAATCTTAACAGTGAGGCTGACAGAGCACTGGAACAGGCTGCCCAGAGAGGTTGTGGAGTCTCCTTCTCTGGAGATCTTCCAAACCCGCTTGGACGCAGTCCTGTGCCACGTGCTCTAGGTGACCCTGCGTGTGCAGGGGGGTTGGACTAGATGACCTCTAGAGGTCCCTTCCAACCTTAAGCATTCTATGATTCTATGATTTAAATGTTACTTTGAAGTCTATGTTACACTCAGCAGTTTGCTACAGGTGTGCTGCTAAAATAATTCAACTTTCTTTTTGTGCAAGTTTTAAGACCCTGGCTCACTTCAGAATGCCACAAACTGAAGCTCTTGTTCTTGTTTTAGCAGCTCTGAATGAAAAATGACTTTTCTGTACCAAGTACGTTTTATAGAAGTCTCAATTCACCTAACAGTCAGATACCTAGGAAATTGCAGATGGAAGGTAAGCCTACTTTCCAGAACCCCTGAGGTGTTAATAGTATGTTTTACTTTCATCCAAATGCCTTCACATTTGGCTGCTTATCATAATAGAACTGACATTTTTGGACATTTGGGGATGTTTGGCTGTAACTGTGT